GTCAAACAGCTTGTATGCAAGAAAAGGAGACTGCGAATATACAAAACGCCACATCAACCTGGTCTTCATACCTTCGATCAAATTACTTTCCACCTGATCAAAGAGTCTAGATATACTGTACTAATACAGCATTTTGGCATGAGCCGTTCAGTTTTCCTGATTATTCTGACTAGGATCATAATTTCTGGCCGGAATTGAGAGAGATTACCTAGGAAACAACGTAAACTAGAATGTTCCAACAGAGCGAACCGATAGTTGGTCAAGACGAATCTGTTGTCGTCCTCTGGCAAACCGATTTTTGATTGGTTTCAGCAAACGCCTGCCCTCAAAACGAAAATGATCTTAAAAATGTCAACCAAAAGATTTATGAAAAGTAAAATAATCTTCGTGAACTAAAGCTTAACCCTGCTTCACCCGAAGAGGGGTAGGATGTGACCTTGATTTTGTCAACTTAAGGGCTGTATTGTCGCCAAAAGGTTACACAACAATGGGAATCAGCCGTCGTCTTCGGGTGAGAATCTCTTCATCGTGAACTCTCATACGAAATGGAAGTAGTTTGTAGTACCGGAGTTTTTATCACTCGGCCTGACTTTTCATGTTTGTCAATCCTGTCGACATATCGTTAACCAAAGTTAACCGATGAGACTTTGTCGATCAATCGGGTCTTCTGCTAAGTGCTACCGAGCGCAAAGAATCGGTCAATAAGCCGATACTCTCTCTCTCGTCCTCAGTTGTTGCGATTAGTTTGAATTGCGAGTATACTCACAGACCTCTGCACGGCATGGTAATTCGTGGGACAATCAGAGGTCAGAAAGCATCCAATCTGCTCCAATCAAACGGGCGCTGCCAATGAACAGAATGGATTCTTTGTAACATAACTTTCCACTGCTGCTTGGTGTGAATACATAATTTAATAGCACCGGCAACCGAAGGAAGATTGCAGCGTAGGGAAGACTGTTGCATTGTGCAAATAAATCCTCAGCTCAACGTCCTGTGACACCGATGAACTTGCGATGGTATCTAAGGTATGAATACCAAGATGGTGTGGTCTTTTGTGTGGTTGCAGTCTCCTTTCGTTGTATAGAAGTTGTTTGACGTTGTTTTCCAACTCGTTCATATTGGTAGGAAGACTTAGAGAAACGCACCTAGTCCTGAGTTCATTGTATGCATCATCATTCCAGAGTAGGACCGTGGAAGTGGTACATTCTCAGACGTTTCGCCGGCATCGTAGTCGGCATCGTCAGTGAGTCTCGCCATTTGTAGCACCATATTA